CTTCCTGGCATCAAGGGAAAGGTGTAATCGCAGGTGGCATCAGAACGGATGCCAGGAAGTCAACTAATGACAGAGAGGGTCCTTAGCCAGCAAGCTCAGGGGCTGGCAGGACCGAGCTCGACCGCACTCAGCACAAGCGTACCCCCACAGCCATCCTTGTCCGTCAAGTTGCTTGACGAGCTCTGACGAAGCGCCCGCGACGAATTGAGGAGGGCGACGCTCTGGTGCTCGCGCGCTCGAGATCATAGCGCACTTCGACCCGCTCATGTGGGTCATCAAGAACCCGGCCACCAAGCTGCTGAAGACCCGGCCGTTCATGGAGCGCCTCTGGGCGGACGTGACCTACTGCAAGCACGGGACTCCGTGCAGGAAGCAGACCCGGCTGTGGACCAACGTGCGCTGGAGGCCCAGGACTGTGCAGGGCCGGCGGCCGGTGCGAGGCGTGGGAAGACGGGAGGCGCCCAGAGGGGCCTCGACTGCGAGAAGGTCAGCGGGCAGTCGCGCGAGCTGCTTTACAGCACTCCCACGGCGCTGTGCGAGGAGATTGCAAGTGCGGCCACGACAGAGCTTGCGGAGCGGCTGACTAGGGCTGAACCAAGGATCATTTCTTTATAAGATCCGTCTCGGAAGATCCGTCTCGGGCCGGGGTAGAATATTATTCTAAGGAGAGGCGCTCGCCGGGCTGGAGGCAAAAAGATCCGTCTTGGGCCAGGGTAGAATATATTATTCTAAGGAGAGGCGCTCGTGAAAAGATCCGTCTTGGAAGATCCGTCTCGGGCAGGGGTAGAATATTATTCTAAGGAGAGGCGCTCACCGTGCAAAGATCCGTCTTGGGCCAGGGTAGAACATTACTTCGTGTCTGGAGCCTGTTTTCGACCAAAAAGGAGCGAATCGAGAGGCAGAGGCACCTCGCTTGCCCTCTGACAGAAAAAAACAAGCTTTTCGGGAATTCGGGAAGTTGGCCGTTTTGAGCACTTTTTCGGGCCAAAAGTGAGCGGTGACATCGAACGGTGACGTCGGAAAAACGTTCAGCCGGATGGAGAATTTGGCTGTTTTTGCGGTTTTTTCGGGCTAAAAACGAAAATACTTAGGGCTATAGGCCTATGTTCCTTACTACTCTCAGCACTGTATCCACGCCTGCCAAATGGTAAGAACACACGCTCAAGTGCGCCCGCTCAGCACTGTATCCACGCCTGCCAAATGGTAAGAACCCACGCTCAAGTGCACCGCTCAGCACTGTATCCACGCCTGCCAAATGGTAAGAACACACGCTCAAGTGCGCCCGCTCAGCGCTGTATCCACGCCTGCCACATGGTAAGAACCCACGCTCAAGTGCACCCGCTCAGCACTGCATCCATGCCTGCCAATTGGTAAGAACACCCGCTCAAGTGCACCCGCTCAGCGCTGTATCTACGCCTGCCAAATGGCAAGAACACCCGCTCAAGTGCGCCCGCTCAGCACTGTATCCACGCCTGCCAAATGGTAAGAACACACGCTCAAGTGCACCCGCTCAGCGCTGTATCCACGCCTGCCAAATGGTAAGAACACCCGCTCAAGTGCGCCCTGTATCCACGCCTGCCAATTGGTAAGAACACCCGCTCAAGTGCGCCCGCTCAGCGCTGCATACGCCTGCCAAATGGTAAGAACCCACGCTCAAGTGCACCCAGCACTGTATCCACGCCTGGTAAGAACACCGCCCGCTCATTACGCCTGCCAAATGGTAAGAACACCCGCAAGTGCACCCGCTCAGCACTGTATCCACGCCTGCCAAATGGTAAGAACACCCGCTCAAGTGCGCCCGCTCAGCACTGTATTTTGTGCGTTGTCGTCTTATGGTCATATGGATGTGTTTTGTTTGCAGGTCCCCGTTTTGAGGTCGACAGTTTTGGGATATATATATATATATATATTATGTAAAGACTCTTTGGATTTTATCTTACTTTATTGATATTGAGTTGCTTAAGTTTTAGGATATTGATATATATATATATATATATATATATGTAGACCATTTGGATTTTTTTTATGGCTTTATATATATGTAGTTGGTAGAGTTTTGGGAGATATATATATATATATATGAAGGCTATTTGGATTTTAGATGACATTATTTATATTGAGTTGCTAAATTTTGAGGGTATATATCTGTGTATGGACTATTTGGATTTTAGATGGTTTTTTATATATGTAGTTGGTAAAGTTTTGGGATGTATATATTTTATATATACGTAAAGACTCTTTGGATTTTATATGGCATTATGTATATTGAGTTGCTAAAATTTGAGGGTATATATATATATGTATAAACTGTTTGGATTTTACATGGTTTTTTACATATGTAGTTGGTCTTCTCTGCTTTGGAACTGTGTTTTTCTTGCAACATGCAAAGTGTGTTCGTGTGGAACTGTAGTGTTTGGGACGCCGTTTTTGTGTAAAATCGCGTCCTGAGAAATCTCTTGCTTTGGATTCAGCGATGTTAGAATGCATTGGTTTTTGCAGTGCAAAAACTCCTTGTCACGGGGAGGGGCGTTGGTGTTCGCGGCCAGACGACCGGTCGGACCGTTGTTGTGTTGTGGCAGACGCCATGCAAAATGGGGCAAAAGCTGCAGCAACTGCAGGAGTTGTGGCAGGCGCATTGTCTCTCTTGGAAGATGGCGTCGAATACAGGAGGTCAATCATAGGTGGCAAGGAATATGCGCAACGTGTTGCCAAGCGGGCTTCAACTGCTGCAGTTGTTGGGGGTGGATCAGCCTTTGCAGCCACTGCAATTAGCGCTGTTTTACTTGCAGCTGCTATCCCCGTTTGTACTGCAGCCAGCGTCGCTCTGGCAGTCTGCGGGGCATATACAGTCTGTGCCCGTGGGACAAATGCCATCCAGGAGCACATCTCGATCAGCCAAGGCAAGTAGTCTATGTGGCCGAAAGTTATGATGACATTTTCTGTTTGAAGTTCGACGACATGATGGGATGCCTTGGCGCATTTGGACAGGGTGTGAGTCGTTTGAATTGGACATGGCGACATCTCATTGAAATTTGAATTGTTCTTTATTTGACCTTGCTATCTGTGTTTTTGGCTTCAGCTCGCGTTCCCAAAGCACACAGCAAGTGCGTTTGGTACCCACCTGACAGAACAATGAGCTGAGCAAGTTCTACTTGGGAATTGTGGGCAACAGGAGTGGCCAGATTGCTAAACTCCTTGATGTTGTCGGGTAGTTCTTTTGCAGTGACTATTCCATTGAAACCATCAGAAACCTCCAAGCCAAAAAAAAAACGGAAAATAATAATCTGCAAAAAAACGCGAAGAAGTGCAGCAAGGCTGGTTGACACCTGTCGCTGGACTGGATGTGATACCTCCTGGTGGGACGTTATCCGCGCGGTTTGGCGTAAGCCGGTTTGGCAAAAGCCAGTTTGGCAATTTGCGGCCCATTGACAATTTTTCTTCTGTTGTTGCAAGCGCTACCGCATCATTACGCAAGCGTACCGCCAGCTGGAGATTCCAAATTATTCTTACATAGTTGTTTTCACTCCGCATGAGAGGAACATGAGGGTTTCCAGTTTATCAGCATATCTTGTGAGGCGAGAGATCTTTGCAGTGGCTTGGTAACAGGTGCTTGCTGCGACGAAGGCTTGTGTTTGTACTCTAGGATTCTTGTATGTATACACACATCTCTTTGTGATGTGACATGTTTGCCACCACGTAAATGTGGGGCTTAAGGTTTGGCTCAAGTTTAAGTGAGCATTTGCAGAGCGTCAAAGGGAATCATCCTGAAGAACCAGGTTGCAGGGAACCCAACGCCGTGAAAGCAATGTGCGATGCGTGCCGTGCTTCAGAGGTTCGAGAACGTTGAAGGGGACACGCAGCTAGAGTTCCACAGACTTGACATTTGAAGCAAGACAATGTCGTAATTCAGGAGATCGCCGAGGGCGTCGCGATTCCCACAAGGCGTTCACGGGGAGACCTCGTAGGGCGCGTGAGACTTACCCCACAGACACACTGGCAAAGTGACGAGGCGTAGGCAGCCAGGAGAAGGGCTTGATAAGGACTTCAAACTGCGCGTGGCTAGGTTCGGAGTAGCAGGCGAAGCCCAGAATCAACCATGAAGCTAGACAAGCCAATCCATGTATTCGTATGTACACATCCCATGGATCTACATATGGAATTACTCAGTGATGAATGTTTTCGGTGTGAAGGGTCAGCGAAGGTCCAGCACCATGCTACCATATTTTGATATGTGCTTGATGTGTGACACCGAGATGGTCATGTACTGATTACAATATTCATGTTCAATGCTTGCAGTGCTGATGATGTCAGTTGACAGCTGCATTCAATTATTCATTATTCTCGGTTGGATGCCATTCTCTCGGGCACCTCGTTGAGAACACAGCAGTGACGGTTGGTGTGTTGCGGCCTGATGATGAACCTCTGTCTGCGACGGGGGATGTCCTAACGGCACCGCGACGATATACAGTCAAGTTCCGAAGGCTACCCTTTGTTCCCTTGTCATGGTGTGTGGCGCTCATGCTTTAGCAGCCACTGTTACAGTCGAGTGTTGAGAGAACTACTGCGAGGCTTGCTGAAGAAGTGGGTGCAATTATTTGCCTTACGACCCTTATGCCCATTCCTGGTTTGATACTGGTTGGCGTTACTGTTGCCGGTATTGATCCTAACCCAAGACGGCAGAGGTGATCTGTATCCTGTTCATCATTTGCAGATACCACGTTACAATATCCTGCTTCCCCACCTTCCTAGGACAAAACCGTTTGGAATAATTTGTTTCCCAAGTCCTTTTTGAATCCCCTCCCTCAAATTTTTGATCTCATCTTGCCGGCTGGGCTCCCATTTCCCAACACCTTGGTGGTTTGAATGGAAACCTGGATTGTTTCTTGTATCTGACACCAGGCTGCGCCTGATATTCAGAGACATACCTATTCTCCTGCTAACGACAAACCATCATGACTCTAGCGTTAACCCCAAACAGCAGTTTCGTCACTTTTCACTGAGTTTCACAAGGGTCATAACGATGGATCCCATGAACACAACTGATGCGTATGAAGACAATGTGAGCCACATCGTGCTGTGTTTGGGATGCGCACACGATAATTTACATGGATGAAGCCTCTTCGGCCAACACAAAGAATACCATGCGATCGGCCGTGTTGGGCTTCGCTGCCCAAGAGTGCAACGAAGCCCTTTGAGTGTTGGATGGTACTTTGACCATCACCTTGTACAGCAACCTCAAGCGATGGCGTTTGCAATTGGATGGCACGTGGTGGCTCTCTGGTGCCTCGCCGCTGCAGAGCCGGCCCTCCGGTCCTTTTGGCCCCACCAATGCTGCACCACCTGCCTAACTCGCTTTTGTTCGCCCAGAAGCGGAAATTGCTACGACCAGAAGCGCAAGGACTACTATTTGGAGTGCAAGATCGATTGCTGCAACTCCTGCGCTGGCTTGCCCTTCTGTTCGCCTGTCAGCGGCAACTGCTATGACCAGAAACGCAAGAACTACTATTTGGAGTGTACCATGCCGCAAGGAACCATGCCGCAACCTACCATGCCGCAAGGTACCATGCCACAAGATACCATGCCGCAAGGAACCATGCCGCAACCAACCATGCCGCAGCCTACCATGCCACAAGGTGCCATGCCGCAACCTACCATGCCGCAAGGTACTATGCCGCAACCTACCATGCCGCAAGGTACCATGCCGCAAGGTACCATGCCGCAAGGTACCGTGCCGCAACCGCAACCCCCGACCTTCCCAATGTACTACTATGCAGGGGAAGGTCGATGTGATCCTGCGACGCCCACCAAAATGGCTTCTTTCAGCACTGCAACGGCTGCTGAGTGTCGTGGGAGTTGCCAGAACACGCCCGGCTGCAAAGTGTTTGACTTTTTGAACCCCAGCAGTGCTTGCGGTGGGACTGGTTTGTGCCAATTGCACTACGCCTATTGCTCCATGGTGACGGATCCCTGCTGGGAGCAGTACCGCCTGGACTGATGTGACATCTTGGCACTCTTGGCCTGAACAGCCGACTTTTGGGCCATTTGCACAGTTCGCACAGTTTGCACAGTTTGCACAGTGTGCAAGGTTTTCAAGGATTGGAAAGCTTGATGCTGACTTGCAAGCGGAGCAAGCAAAGAAAAGGCGATAAAGGAATGCCGGCTGGGCATTGGGGTGGATGCTGGGCTTGGCTTTTCCGAAGGTGGGCGGACAGCAGTTGCTTTTGTTTGCGATTGTATTGTGGAGTTCGTAACATAGAACGAAGGAGAGGTGATGCAGAGGTTTTGGAAGCAGATGCATGATCAGCTCTGGGAATACCGATCGAAGAACCAAGTTTTCATATTGCCAGACGTAGCTAACCTTTCTGCCCTTGTGCGCTTTAAGGTGTTCCTTCATTTCCCCTTTCAACGAGCATCATGTTGTGATTTTGCAGCTGTGAAACCAGAGGCTGCCAAAGCTGCGTAAAAAGTGTTTATGTCAAGGAGACGATGGGCTAGGGCTGGGAACCGGGCACTTTTTGCCGCCAATTGCTCGGAGTGTCCACTGACAGTCTGATCTCCTGGGCTCGTAAGCGACTTTTGGCAGCCAATTGCTCAGAGTGTCCACTGATCTCCCGGGCTCGTAAGCGCAAGGTTTACTCAGTCTTGGTGATACCCGTGAAGCCAGTTTTGACAATGCCGTAGGTGTCGCAGAGCTTACCGCGCAAAAAAAGGTAGGATTGTTTTTTCCCCAACAGCTGACAGCTTTGGGGTCTCAGCCCAGATAGGCTCCGGGGTGGTCTGGGGCGGCCCTGAGGTAAGGTTCCACGAGGGTTCCACCAGGGTTCCACCCAGGTTCACGAGGGTTCCACGAGGGTTCCACGAGGTTCTGCGAGGGCTGCGGGGTGCCGCATGCTGTTGGGGATATCACCTGAGCTTATTTCCAGTGCCAGTAGTATGGGAATAACAGCAGTTGGCTGTGGGTTAAAATTAGACCAGGGGACCACAGGTGTCAGTCCATGTTTCTATTTACCAGAGTTCCATTTTGCGTCCCCTTTTTTGACCCACAGCCACTTCAAACCTCAAAGTCCATTGACCCACAGCCAGTAGAATCAGTAGAAGATTTTGAACTGCATGGCGGTATCTGTATCATTGCAGTGGCTGGCATGTTGCCCAAAGCTTCAGCTCGAACCCAAACGAGCTGACCAACTTACTGTCAGCTGGCGGTCTGCCTTGAGCAGGCGCAACTCGGCTGATAGGTGAAGTGTCATGGCCGTGGTTGTCAAAGCCGTTTTGGGATCCCAGTTTTTTGGTAGGTGAATTCACCACCCATTTTAGAACCTATTTTAGTGGTTGGATTGGTTGATGTTCACTGGCGGTACGTGGTTTTGACCCATGACCATATTGTGTTCTATTGCATGTTTTAGGCGAATGTGATAGACTTCACAGACAATTGTTTACAAGGCCGGTGGCTCTTGTTTGTTTTGGATTGCCAAGGTCTGGTTGCATTATCCGATACTCGCGTCCGATATCCTACGATTCACGCCAACCACACTATCATTCTGTGCAACTCGGATGCAGCTTCCGATGTGATTATGCGGCATGCAAGCAGTGCTTTGATCTCATTTGAGAAGCATCCGGCAGGCTATGATGCAGCTACTTGCGGGCCTTGGCAATGACATCACAGGCGTGTCAGTTTGAAATAAAGAAGAAACACTTTGGTGTGTCAGTTGACAGGTGCATCAGGTCTTCTTTTCGCGTGCTTGTTGGCTCCACAACTGTACAAGCTTGGCGGCAAGGCAAGGCGTCGCACAAATATTCACACATGGGAAAGGGCAACCCTGCATGACAGCTTTCGCCAGAGAGGTAGCCTTCAGAAGCAATGAAGACAGCGGCAGGCATGGAGTGTGATATTGTCTCCGGAAGCCAGCTGAACGATTGCAGCAGGATAACCGCCATCCTGCTCGTTGCGGCAGCGTTTCTGGCTGCAGCCTCAAACTGCATCAAGCAGAGCTGAGCGCTGTGATCTTGAGGCTGGCACTTGCCTACAGTCGGAAGCTGGCTCCCCTGAGGCACGTTTTTCCTGCGGCGCTTTTGTTGTGTAGCTTATTTTTCTGCACAGGTGGCAGACCAAGAAGCATCCATTGGCTTTTCTGCTGCAGTGACTCCAGCATCTTGGCGGCAGTGATGATCAAAGCCAGCCGATAGAAGGCATGTGCTGGTAAACATAGATGCTTCACCGTGGAGTGCTAGATGCAATAACTCTTTTTGTTTTGCCAAGACGATCTTTAACGCATTCATGGGTGGATGATCGTAGCCTTGTGCTCAGGAACTTGCTGGCAGTCCCTCTCAGGCAGATGAGCGTTTTGTGGTATCACAGGATGCATAGCATGCATGCATGTACAACATGCATCATACTGTCGATGGACAAAATCCATTTCGCACCACCTAATAAAGCCTGGAATGATGATTCCCCTGTACATACCAACAAACAATGGGTTGCCATTGTTGCAAAGTGGTGCAGGATTTCATGCATCCACCGAAAGTGGCATGCATATGGAAGTTGGTTTACTTTCTTGTTGCGTAGCTGACTTTTTGTTCGACACAAATTACATTTTCATATCAATCGACCAGCTGGAGAAGCATGTGAACTTGAACTTTCCAGTCACGCAATCAGCCGAAACTGTGAGATACAAGCATCCGTAGATCGTTCTGAGTGATGTCGATAGAGCGTGCCCGCAGAGGCCAGATACAAGACTTCGTTTGGACTCGTTTGAAGTTTAGCTGGATGCATTATGCACAGCTTGTGCAAAGAGCTGAGAGCCTTTCGGGGTCCCAAAGCAAAACATATTTCTCGACAGAGCACTGTGCTTGCCGAAGATGTTTTCTCAACCAAGGTACAAAACATTGCACGAGCCTGGTCTTCCATCATTTGTTGTGGGTTTCAGCAGCTCTGTGCAAGTGCCGTGCAAGTAAGGCATGTGTACCGCAGGTAGCATGCGCAGCGTGCATTTGCCCAGCACTTATTGCGTGTATCATGACAAGTACTTGCACCGCGCGGCTGGAGGATAGCATTGGCGGCATATGCAGCTTGCGTAGCATGCCTAGAGTGCCCCCGCAGGATAGGATGCATGGCGTAGCGCAAATAGTACGTAACTCACACGCAGCAACAAAGCTCGAATAGACTATGGTATGTGAGGGATGCCTAGCACGTGCGGGGTGTAGTTGCCTAGCCCACAGAGCATGCGTGGCGGGTGTAGCAAGACTAGCAAGCGTAGCATGCATAGCACACAACAACACGTAGCATGCGTATCGCACACGCGCCCGAGCACATAAAATGCACAGCACCAGCTGCATGCGCAGCATGCGTCGCCCATACAATATCGCGTCTACTGCACTGGCATTTGAAGCTTTCATACTTTTTGTATGTTTTTTTTTTTTTTTTGCGGCGGGCATAGCTAGCAAGCATGTCCAGAGCGCGCAGCATGCATGATGCGTCGTGCATGACACATGCCCAGCACGCAATAGTATCCAATGGATTCATCTGGTCCTCTCCGGTCCTCTCCTGTCCTCTCTGCTCCTGGAAAGCAAAAGGAAAGCAAACGCAAAAAACCGCAGGGCTTTCTACTGGGAAGCGGAACTGCCTTGAAGGGAGGACCCTTTGGTAGTTGGAATTTCTGGGAGGGGCAAAGGTTTGAGAAACCTTGCGATGTATGGGTTGGCAGTTTGCCGCTTGAATTGCAGGTTTTCAATTTCAGACCCAAACACTCATAGCAATTCCGAACATGCGTTGCGTGCGCACAATTGCCGTCTTTGCAGCATGCACAGCAACCAGTACACAGAGCGTGCCTAGCATGCGTGGATAAGTGGCATGCATTCCAAGCATGCCAAGCAGGCAAAGCATCGCACGCTTTTTGCATTCGCTCGCCGGTCACGCGTGGCATTCTGCAGGTGTTGCTTAGCGTGCGGCAGCGCCTTGCATCTGTGGCCGGAACCTGAGGTTTAAGGGTGGAAGCAGGTATATACCCCTTTTGGGGAGAGGGGTATGAACATCAGCAGGCCTTTTGGGTTCATTTGTCCAAGGGGTATGTAAAAGGGGTATGTACAAGCACCCCTGACTGGGACTTCGATTCAGAGTCAGCGTTTTTTGACTTGAAGCTGAGGCCTCCCATGGCACTTCTCCCACTTCCATTGAGAAACAGCGCCCACAGGCGAAAGTCCAAGCCAAGAGAAGTGGAGAGACGGACATTTTTTTTCTTCCGAGGACAGCTGTGAGGCGTCTTGGTGCGGCTTGACTGCATCGGCAGTGGCTGTGTTTCTTCTGAGAATTGAGTTCTAAGGCTCCTTTTCAACTTCCGAAGAGGATGCGCCCTCCATATTTTTTGCTGACAACCAAAGCGAGTGGGGAGCCCCAGTCTTTTCTTGTGGTTTGCAGCAGCTCACCTGAGCTGCATCAGGACAGCTTCTTCTCAGGCACCTCCCGAGGCAGGTCCGAGCTTTTAGCCTGAGAGTAGCTGTCAAGCAGGTTCGGCGTAGGGCTGCAATTTGGCTGTTGTTGTCAAAGCCGTTTTGGGATCCATTTTTTTTGGTAGGTGAATTCACCACCCATTTTAGAACCTATTTTAGTGGTTGGATTGGTTGATGTTCACTGGGGGTTAACCGATTTGACCCATGCCCATTTGATGCCGACATTGCCTCAAGGCACGCTAGCTCAGCAACCGACCAGGCGCTCCACGCTCCTGGCAATGCGCCAGAGGGCCATATTACCTTGAACTTGGCACGTTCAGAGCAGGACAGTCTATGCATAGTGCTTTTTTTTCTTCTTCCGCACAGCTTTGGCGTGAGAGAACAAGGGGCACGGAACTTGATCCATGAAGTTGGTGAAAGATGTGGACGGTCACAAGTCACAAGTCTGCTTTTGACTGGTCCTGCTGTGGATGGATAAAATCCATGTCGCACCATCGTTCAGAAATGCTGGAATGATTTGATTCCCTGAAAATGCCAATAAACAGTGGGGTTTCCTATGGTTTCCGGCCGTTCCGAATGGACAGCATTGGTTCCTCTCCGTCTGCTGCAGTGGGCACTATTGCCATGCAACCATGACTTTCACTACCAGATGTGTTTCTGGCCTGCGCTTCAGTGTTGCCCCACGCAAATCCATGCCGCACCGCTCTTCTATTTGTTGTGGATTAGATGTGTGCTAATTCCTTTCGTGGAGCGCCCTGATCTATGGCACTTTGCCACACGGTTCGCCTATTTTCTCGCTAAGGTTCATCAGTGAGGTCCCAAACACACATTGATGTGACAGTACAGAATTCACAGCTGAGGTTTTGTGCTTCCACCTTGTTCTTTCTTTGCCCTTGTCTTTGCTTGGTCCTTTGTGCTCTCTTGTTCCCCAGATAGCTGAAAGCTACAGGGGTTCTAACTTCTAATAAAGAAGTGATTTGCGAGGTTGACGTGTGGGTGCGAAGGGCATGCAGTTTGCGTGCTGGTGCGTGTGCTGTTTTGGGTGCTGTTTGAGCTGCTGGTGATGGCGCGTGCAGTTTGGGTGCTGATCTCGGGGAGCTGTTTTGGGATGCTGTTTGGGGTGCTGGTGATGGTGCGGGCGCATGTTTTGCGTCCTTGTGGCATGGTGCAGACTTAGGGTTTAGGCTGGGGCTCGCGATGAGTTTCCTCCTTGTTCTATTTTTTCTGTCTTGTTTCTTGTTCCATGTCAGCTTTGAGTTAATGACAAGCCAGGGCCTTGAACATTGTGGATCCTTGCAATACGCAATGATATGCGCATCATGATGATAATGCTAATAGTAGTATTGCCGCTAACCATCTTATGATATTCATATTGATACTTGACAATGCTCACGGCAGGAGATTGACATCATCAACGACGTTGTGCATTACAAGAGCGCCTACTATGGCACGATTATGCTTGGCACTCCGCGACGGCCTTTGTTGAAGGGGGCTGGGCGGGAGGGGAGGGGGAGGCAGCCCAAATCAGCTCTTAGCCCTTAATAAGGCCTTATTTAGGGCTTATTTGGGCTCCCTCCCTTCCCCTCCCTCCCCTCCAAACCCCATGATGTTTGTTCGTCCACAGAGCTGTCAAGCTCTCAGCGTCAGGCCGAAGCCATTCACAGTGGTCTTTGACACTGGCAGCGGACACCTGATACTTCCAAGCTCGTGGGCCACTTAGCTCGGAGAGAAGCACGAAAGGATCATGATCTGGCGTGTGCTTGTTGACAAAAGGTTTACTCGCCAGGTACTGTCATACGGAAACTTGCAAAGTTCACCGCAGGCTCATCCCGAGCTTGTTTGGTTACGTCACCAAGACTGCAATAGGTTTCTCGGAATGGAGCAGGTACAGGAGAAGTTCTTCCACCACTGCAGAGGACATTGACTGGGATGGGCGTCGTGTCTACACCTCAAAGCATTTGCAATGCCTCGCCTTTTTTGCACGTTGACAAGTTGCAAGGTCAAAGCTGGGGAATCCCGTGATCAAATCACAGCTTTCCAGCTGCACTTACTTTTACCGAGTCTCGTGTCAGAGTCTTGAGTCGAAGATTTGAACTACGTGAGCCAAGGTGTCCTTCGGTACGGGCGAAGTCACCGGCGTTTTCGTCCAGGAGAGCGTTGCTTCGGTTCAAAA